GTATTGAATTCACTTCACATTTTTTCCAGCAAGAGTTGAGTCTCTTAAGTGGCAAGACAAAATGCTTTAAGAGTTCTATTTTTGTCTAAGAATGGGTAACTTGTTTGAGAAGTGTAATTCCTCAGCCTTGTGAAAAATGGAATTTCTTAACTAAAAATATATATTATCAAGTTAGTTTTTCTTCTTTTAAATAACTACATCTTTATTGGAATGGACTGAGTGTCTACAGATATCAAAAACCATCTGTAACATGTTGAAAATATAATGGAATATATCTGGATTATGTGTAGGGGTCTACACAGTTTGAGGAGGTGGCCAGCCAGTTTTGTGGGGAGATCACAGAGCTAGCTGCCATTTTAACAGGCTGATGACAGTGGGGTCCCTCCATGTCTCTGGCTGAGGGGCCCTGGTGACCCCATTCCTTGCCACTGGCTGGTTGGAGGGGCAGGGCCACATGACGGGTAGCCCTCTTGGCTAATCAGTGGTGAGGGGCGGGGGCAGCATCTATCTTGGGCTCCCCTTCAGGCTGACAGTACCCCCTTGTCCGTACTCTCCTAGCAGGATTTGTGGCCAGGCCACAGTGCTGTGAGGAGTGCTGACTCTCTCTGGAGAGCCAGCATTTATTTTCAGTAAGTTTTCTTTCTCTCTCTCTTTTTGTTTTTGTGGGCAAGGCCAGATTTCACAATGTCTGTGTAATTGCAGTTTCAGTAGGTCTCTAATTATTTCTAGTTCTCTTCCCTCCCCACCACCTACCCCTCCAAGAAGTGCAATATGTCTGCACTATTCATGAATTTGGCAATTCTCAGATTGGAGACAAAGCAAACTATTCTTTTGCTGTACTTCTGGCAGCAGATGGAATACAGTGTACTTTCTCAGAGCATTGTTATATATAGTGTTGCAAGTTTCCTGATAATATTTAATTTAAAGATTTGACAGGCAATTTGAAATTTAACACAGTACATGGAAATGTATATTTAGTCCACACATCTATAATAATATGAGTGTGATGCATTTTAAATTGCCTATAATCATCCAGTACTGTTCTACTAACTGCTGAGCAAAGCAGTGGCAATAAAATGTTTTTCAAGAGGTATGTGCCAGAAGGCATATGTTAATGGGAGTCAAATGCTAATGTATACTTTATTAAGCTTTTCTGGAAACCACTATGCCTAGTAACATCATTCTGTTATGCTTGGACAGAGTACTGTACCTCCTATGTGGGTTGTGACACAGTTAAAGGACTGGACTAGTTGAACAGCAGCATGTCATCTGTTTGCTCTGGCTACATCTTCACAATGGAAAAAAGATAGAAGTTTACATTTTTAACTAAATCTTAGAAAAGCCAACATTGTGAAATGCAGTAGGTGCTATAGGGGGATATTAACATTTTAAGAATTATAATGGTTCATGCTTTCTGCTATCACCTTTTCCAGAGGTTAGAGCAAGATTGCTTGGGTGCTTTTGCTTTGTGTCTATACAGTCCACTTGCAACATATAAAAGGTGCTGATCTTGAAATCAGCCACTTGTGTTTCCCCTATAGAGAGCCCAAAGATAATGGAGGCATACCCATTACATGGGAAGAAGATACGGGACCAAAAAGTCTGGATAACAGGGTTTTTCTCATAGGAAAGCCTGTTTTTGGCTTTGGGGGCCTCAGGTTAGAGGGTCTGCCACACCTACAGTGACAAATAATAGGGACCAAATCAGAGACCCAGTTTGACGTGCTCCACTGACCTCCAGAACTGGAAGTAGTCTACACCACTTTGGGTTCAAGGAAGTGTAACTTCCTTAGTCTGTGCTGCTGGTGAACTATGTAGTTCTGCTGGGAAGCAGAGTTAATTTGCTTGAGTGTGAATGCAGCTATACTAATTAGCTCGGTTGAGAGGTGGAACTGATTAGCTTGGGTGAAACTTTGTGTGTTGGGGGTACCTGCCAATGTTTTTCTGCCTTCTCTCTAGCAGATGCAGCAGGATGCTGTCTGGTGCTGGTCCAGAATCAGTTTTTCAGATTCGGAACAAAAGTCCTATTTCAGGGACTTTTTGGAGATATATGACAGTCCTGGAAAATCTAGGATGGTTGGTTGCTTTAGAAATACCAAACAATAATCTAGGAAAAGCTGTCAGGTATGACTGACAGCTAGTACCATATTTTTCTCACATCCCAAATGTCCCCAGATAGAACACACAGGCCTTATTTTGGGAAGGCAGAATGCAGAAAAAAAGCTTTTTCCTGGATGACCGTGTGTAATAAAGCAAGTCCTCCTGAAAACAGTGTCTAGGAAGTGTGATATCTCATGAGACATTCTGGGTGAAGCAGCGGGAACTTCCCAGTGTGGCGGGACAGCAACAGGGCTAGGCCCCATACTCTTGCAAGGGCAGTAGAAGGACTGTTTACTGTAAAGAATGTAATAGTTCTTTATGTAAGTTCCTGTAAATAATAAAGTATTTTTCCCACACCACAAACCTCATGAAAGTATTACAGACTGCCTGCAGCAACTCACTCGCTGTCAGCCAGCTCATGGGTTCTTCTGCCAGAAGCTACTGCCTTACCACAATTGGGAGAGGATTAATACCGGACTTCTCCCTAAGACTGCAAACAGCAGGGCCTAAGAAGCATCCATTTTAGCAGCCATAAGTCATAGTATCTGTTTGCAGTATTCTACCTTGATTCTATTCCAGTGAAGAATCAGCTTCCCTGATTAAGATATGTACCCCAATACTAGAGGGCTGATTGGAGGAGGTGGAGCATGTGATATGTGAGTAACAGTATGGCTGTTAGACTTAAAGGCTAGGGACAGAAGTTGCACATGAACCAGTTTAAGTGATCAGAAACTGGTTTAAACCTGTAACAGAACAGAAGCCCACTGCACATAAACCAGTTTCAAAATGACTGAAACTGGTTTAGGATAAACCTTGGTTGAATGTAGCATCAGACTTAACTGATTTGGGTCAAACCAGTTTATGGAACTTCTATCCCAGACCCCTTCCTGGTTTAAGTTAAATCAGAGTCCCCCAGCGTGCTTTCCAGCCCTGGGCTGGGTTGGGCTGTCTGCTCCAGAGAATAGGGTTGGCCCCATTCCTCTCTTCCCTAGTTGAAGCTCTGGCTGGCTGAGAAGGAGGCTGGGGACTTTCCCCCTGCCTCTGGCCACTCACTGCTCAAGCAGCGATCCCCCCTCCTGCCCCTTTCCCACAGCAGGGACCCCAGCAGTAGGACCCCAGCTGGCATCTGGCCATGCCCCTCCCCCTACTAGCTAATGCTGAGATGTGTGTATGTGTGTGTGTCTGTGTCCAGTTCCACTGGAACAGACATCTGCAGGATGCATTTGCAAGCCACTAGCTAAGAAGACTTTGAAACTAATGAGAGAGAAGTTTTCTTTTGTAGGGTTTGATGGGCTGATAAACTTTGTGTTCTGATAAGCACCCTGCTAGCTGCAATCTGTCAGTGTTCAACAGGGGACAGAGAGGGGTGTGAGAAATGTTCTGGTTTGCAGTGTATGTGACCTGTGAGTGCCGTCAGTTTGCTGCACACAGTATGAAGAAGCAGAAAGAGGGAGACTGAAAAGCTCGATATCATCAACAGATGCATGCAGTCCACACAAGCAGTCCTCCCCCCCCGCTCACCACCTTGCCTCAGAGTGCTAGCCAGTGGCCAGGGTCTGGCAACACTCCCCACCCCTTGAGCAACAAGTGGGGTAAAAATCTGGCAAGGGCTGCTTCCCCATCCCCCTCCAGGCACATTGCGGCAGGCCAGGGTTGGGGTTTAAACTCCTGCCTGATCATTGCGTCCCAGTGGGGCATGGCCATGCCTCCCCTTCCCCTCCCCCCCTCAGATCAGCACTGTTGAAGGGAAGGGAGGGCTGCTCTAGCACCCCCCCAGCTTCTAGCCTGAGCCACTGCAGGCATGTGCCTGCATTTCCTGATTCAAAAGTGAATGTCTATCCACTTGCAAGTCAGTTCAAGCTCTGCAGGTTAAACTAACCTGCAAAGATTGAATCAATTCAGGCTCAGGCTTTTTGAATGTCTGTCCCTTGCCAAAAGAATATGAAACATACAACTTAAAACCAGCCTCTGTCACTGATTCTTCTGCCCCAGAACTGAGCAGAAGGATGTCCTGGGATCTAAACTCTACAGTGCCATAGGAACTACCTAAGTTATCTTTTCTAAAACATCTGAACTAAAAAAAAAAACCCCAAAACCTACAAGATTATAATTTTTAACAAGAAATTCTACGGACAGAGCAAAGGTTTCTACCCTGGCAGCTCAGTCTGAAAAAGGAAAATAATTGAAGTGGTAGAGTAACTGAACAGTCTGGTAGTCTTGTCTCAGATTGTTTGATACCATGAGGGAGCTCTGCTTTTTTTTAAAAAAGTTTCCCAAAAATCAATAGTCTGGGGGTGTGTTAGAAAGACCATTTGTGGGAGAAGTGAATTGTGTTTCAGTTGTTCCTTGGTTTTTTATATTTTCAAGCAGTCATTATTCCTCAATGAGGATTATAGTCAGACATCAACCTTGAATGTTGTCATAATACTATTTAAGAAAATAAATTGTTATTCTAGCAATGGAAAGAAAAATTAATAAAAATATCCAAAGAATTCTGATCAACATTTTTTTAAGTACATCTATTGAATTATCAAAGAAAACTTCAATCTGAAATTTATGGAAACATGAGTAAGTGAAGAATTAATTAACATGTAAAATGCTTTGCAAACTGTCTACAGTAGTTATTAGCTCTGAGTTACAGTAGCAGATGCCTGTGAAACTGGGGCTTATGTGGAAAATATTACTACTATTATACCATGTAGGTATTCAGCTAAATACTGTAGATAATTTGGAGACTGTGAATACCAGAAAGCAAAAGCCTAAAATGACTGGCATATACAATAGAGAAAATTTATTGTAGAGATGAAAAAAATATTGCAATTTGTGAGTGCATTTTGCTTTGTTTACTACAAAAGTGGCCCATCTGTTTGACTACATCTTTTGACTACAATTATTTTCAGGAATCTGAAGCTTTGTTTCTCAAGGCAATTAAAGCCAATCCAAATGCAGCCAGTTACCACGGTAATTTAGGTAAGAATTTTCTAACTCTTGTAATGCAAACTTTATCCAATGCATTATTTGTTCAATCCATGTTCATTGTGTTGCTTTTCTTTTTCATATATATAATGAGACTTCTTCTTCCTGGGGAGTTTTCTGTTCTGTCTACTTTCTAGAAAACCACCTGCATGAAGAACAGGTTACCAAAAGCTGTCACATAGCATGACAGATCAAACAGGCTGCATATCATAGTCCAGAGGTGGTTGCACTTCAGTGCTTCCCAATTGGTTCATTTGTGCTCTGCTTGTAAACCACCATGAGCTCACCAGATAAAAACAGCAATTAATGGCTACAACGTAATTCATTCCTCTCTCATTCCCTGGCCAATTCTGTTTCCAACCTCTGCTCTTGCAGCTGGCAGCAGAACAAGCAGCTACTATGCCACCAGCTGGCAAAAGAAACCTTTACTGAAAACAAATGCTTTAATGTTGTTTTCCAAATGATTGGCAAGATTGCTCATTATTCAACAATATTGCTAATGAAAACTCGTCATTGCTGTTCCAGCTGTGCTTTACCATCGCTGGGGAAATCTTGACTTAGCCAAGAAACACTACGAAGTCTCTCTGAAGCTTGACCCTACAGCACCCGGGACCAGGGAAAATTACAACCTCTTGAAAAGAAAACTGGAACAATTGCAAAAGAAAAGCGATGTCTGATGTTTCTTTCTGGGTTGTCAGTGCATGCTGCATACCATTCATGCTACATGGCTACTCTTAACCATGTGAAGGTTTCAGTCATTGTTCTTAAAAATAATAATGACAGCACCAGCAATGCACACTTGAATGCACATGCCTGATATGGTCTTGCATTGGAAATTTATTTTTTCAAATAACTCAGCTGTGGAATCTTAAAATGTCAGCTGAAGACTTAGGTATCTTTTATCTCTCTTTTTTTTTTTTTGAAATCTCAACTGTTTTTCCAGTCCATTAAAACCATTGATATAAGATACTAATGCAGGGTGGAATTTCACAACTGTGCTTCACAGCACATCGATAACAAAGTTTACTTTTACATGTAGCTTGCATAGTCTATCTGACTTTTTAGTAACTGTGGACACTTAAAATGCAATTTTACTCTGAAAAGTAACTGAAAAAATGGCATTTCCTATTTAAAATTTTTTATCTCTGCATGTGTAAGGTTATACCTGTTCCTGTCAGTGACTCTGGCTTTTTTTACTTTTCCTTGTTCCTATCTTCACCTGGGAGGTGATGCACTTTTTGTAAGAGCAAAATTGGATTTTAATCCAATGCATCAAGAGAATTGTTAAATAAGTTATAATTGTTGGGCTAAATTATGCCCTCATTTGTACCTGAGCTGTCTCTTTGAAGGTAATAGGGCTTATATAGGTAAATGAGGGCATGGTTTGACAATGATCTGCATAGTGGTCCCACATGACTGCCTTCTGTCAAGGTATAGAATGAAAGGAGCTTTAGGGGGGAAAAGTCCTACCAAAGTAATGCACTGGCTCAACAGGGTAGTGATTTAAAGAAGAAATATGACCACAATACAAGAGAGATGCTTTAATTTAGCCTTCTTTCAGGCAGCCTCTGTTCAGACAATTCACATAGATCTTTAGCAAAAAGTTATGGTTTTCTTCACCTTTGTGCTAGGTTGGTGGTGTATACACAGCGTACTTTCTGCTAGGGGTTAGCCACTGTCTATGGACATTATAGTATCCACTGATTCAAATAATAGAAATTTAAAGTCCCAGTATCAACGACAAACTTAGGAACAAAGCCAGGGCACAGGTGTTAGTGACTGCAGATCCTGGCCTGTAGAAGCCTTTGCTACTGATTGATGCAAGAGTTAAGGGAAACCTAGATTCAGCTTCATGTCTCCAGGTGAGTTTGCTGATGTGGCAGTTGTGGGGTGGGGGGGAGGGAAATAGATATTAAGT